ACCAAACATTTAGCGGTGGTGAGGGAAAACTCTTATTTTCATGCGCCAATTTTGTGGATCAAACAAAGGTCACCTAACGTAAATGCAGAAAACCTTACTTTTATCATTAACATACTCACGTGATTAACAAGTCAGAGCATACCAAGTGACTTACGACATCTTTTCTATGATCGCAATACAGTCAGCATTACTGGGGCCACAGGCGCCACAAACCAAGTTTGAATATGTGCGAGAACAACGAAGACTTGCACCGTAAAACTCTTACGCGCCACGCACTTCCGGAATGTCATCTTCCGTCGTGATGACAGATTGAAAACATACACAAACTTAACTTTGATTCTGCCTTGATGCAGAATTTAGTTAGCGGTACGGTGACCCCGTCTAGCATTTAAGTTCAGGTAAGTAAATAACTTTTCTGATTTTAAGGTTTCAATACGATTAAAACTATAGCAAGCGAGTATTTGGACAATATTCCCCTCTACTAACTGTGAGTTGAACTGCGTATTCGTCTCTTCATTATGGTTTATCGCAAAAATCAGTTGAAAGGAATCATGTTAAACCGAACAGAAACGCCGAAATATTATCTGAAACCGTTACAACTCTGACTAGGGTTTAAATGTCGAAGTAACTTATGTTTGCAAAGGATTAATATTCCAAGCGTCGAAACTTGCTTGTTGCACACGCGCTTTCCTGGTGTCAAAATACCCTTCAGGTTTTGGTCTCTCGATGGTGCGCATTTGGAATGCCGCCAGAAATATTTTAACACAAACAACAGCAAAGGATATGCTTCAATACAGTTCTTGTTTCATATTGAAATTCCATGTAGCAACTGGGTTTTTACGATGGTGAAGTTAGGTCAAATTTGCCATTTTTGAAAAGTGCTGAGACCGTGTTTCTTCTTTCGGCCGGTACAGTCTCATTTAAACGGTTTATTTAAAGTTAATTGCTGAATTATAAAGTAAAAATGTGTGTCTGTTTTGTGACTTGATTTCATCTTGAGATATTATCCCGTTTTTATGTACGAGCGCGAAGAAAATGCTTAATTTTCGCTAATTTCATACTCGAAAGAGCGCCGATTTAGAGTTATTCGAACTTTGCCTGATTTCTGAAAAAATAAAAAGCTGTTACCAGTTTTAAGGTGATTTTTGAAATTAGTGTACTATAGAGATAATTTGGGAAAAATATGAAGAAATTCAAAAATTCACGACTGTCAACCGATTCTCGAAAATTACAGACATTGGCTCTTAAGGTCAGTACTAGTAGATGCCTTTACCCTGTAGCTGTTTCCCTGGTGATATTAAAATGTCATTTTTTATTTCGAATATATCAACTCTTCTTTTAAACAATATATCCAATATTCACTCTGAGATTATAATACAGCCAGACATTAGATCATATTGCTTCGATTTCAAACAGGGGAAACGAAAGAGACTTCATGTCTCCGGGTGATTTCTGGAACTCATATTTTCGAGAGTTTGAAACAGATTTTGAAGAAAATTCGCAGTTTCACTGCTAAATTCAGTTTTTGCTCTATGGCTAATCGAGTATTTTGACGTCAAATCCATAGTCCTAAGATTGTTTTGTTTTGTTTTCAATATCAGTAAAAGTTTTTAGAGTATCCCTTTCCGGTGAGGTTTCTGAGAAAATACTACGCAAGAGATATGTTCGGGAATATTTCCCAGCGCTGGTTTACGATCAAGGACTGTATTTTTCAATTCCACTAAATGCGTTCATTCTCTCTCAAAGCGCGTTCAATGTTACACTCAAAATGTCTATTCCGTTCTAAACTAGAGCTCTTAATATATCAATGACATTATACTTTGACAAAAGAGAAATACAATAATGCTGGGGTTATTTCTTGGCTCGCTAAACCCTATTGTAATGCGAAGCTCTAAATCTAGCCAAAATTGTTCGTTTTTTTTCCCTTAAATCAGTATGTGATCTATGTTATCTATGCAACCTGTAAGTAAATGTCACGCAGTGACGTAAAATAAGCAACTAGCGTTACGTAATTTTAAATACAATTGACTATTTAGCAACTAATGAATGAGGCTGGGTAGGATATGAAGAATTAAGCAGATCGAGGAGGGTGGACAGCTAGTCTTTCCTGAGAGTTATACATGTGTAGCTACTAAAATTTGCCGTTTTATCAGCTTGACTTGTAAAAAAGTATGTTCTTATATGTGGTATTAAATGTATTTCATGATCAGAACTTGGTTGAACGACATTTTCGTACCCCATTTGGTCAGCCATTACGGCTGAAAGTGTCGGATATCACGATTCATGTAATAAGATGACTTGGTTCCATTATCAAATTGTCTCTGAAGACCTGTGCATGTCACCGTTTCATAAGGCCCTGACAAAAGGCAAGTTGCTTAGACGATTACAAATTAGAAAAGCTTTTTTCACCTCGATATGCCTAGATATCTGGCCTATAACCATAGCGAACTGATCCTGATATTTTTCTACAAGTTTAATTGTGCTGATCCAGGTCTTCAACTAGGAGATCCGGCACCATTTTTTGGTTTGTTGAAGTGGACTTGCTGACGTTTTATATATTTTATAACTGTAACCCTGGTGTCGTGTTTAACACGCTTAGATAATTGTACAAATTACTACTACAGGGGCATATTTTTTCTCTATTCGTCCTATTAGGAGCTTAATAACAGCAGTCCAGTCTATTTTCCTTAGTTTCTCCAGTCACTCGTCCCTTTTAGATAATGATCACAGGGGCGGCTCGAGGATTTTTTCCTGGATTTTTTTTAAAGAGGGGGTGCACCACTAAGAAACTACCATTTTTACCGAGTTTAACATAAATTCTTCAAGGTCGTCGCATGTTTGACTTCACCACCAATAAACCACAAAGATTTTTTTTTGTAGAATTCCACTTGTTTTAGAAAGGTGCTGGTCATCTTGGGGGAAGGGGTAGGGGGTCCTTTTCGCACCCCCTGCACCCTTCCCATAGATCCGCCCCTGGATCATATCACCTCATCTAATCCGAATTACGGCATCCGGGATTTTTCGCTTATGGAATCCAAAACCCAGGACTTTGGAATCAGAATTTCAGCTTAAGGAATCCGGAATCCAAGTTCCACTGACAGGGAATCTGGAATCCAGTAGTGGCGGGGGGGATCCATATTCCAAGATTATACAATGCACGGGAGACACAAAGCCTTGATCCATCATACACAATTTCCTAATGTTGCGCGCCGGGTTTCGCCACCTGGAAGGTAATCCAGAACAGTCATTGTATAGACAATATATATATAGACCGGCATTAACTCCTGGGGAGTGATTTTAAACTAAAATTTGTTTGCGTGGTTGTTTCTTTTGGTGGGGGAGGGAGTAGGGACACTTAAAAAACATCTAATGTAAAGCGGTCATTCTATAGGACGGGAAATAGCCATCTTACGCCACGAGCAAGTTCTCCCCTTCTCTGCAAAATTTAAAAATGAAACGAGGCAGCTTTTTTCAAATAATTATGTATGTGAAAACTACTAGTTACACATAAATCTTAGTATGATAAAACTGTAACATGTTTGTGAGCGTTATATTGTATTGCTTTGAAAGAAGCACTCGTTATGTTTCAAAATATGACAAATGAAAATGATTATACCTTGTCAAGTATTTAAGAAAACAGCTAATAATAGCTCATATCTTATTTGAGGCATCTTAGAATATCGTGCATTTTGGGTGAAAAAAAAAAAGTTAAAAGGATTGAATGGAACAGCTCAGCGATGACCCCAATTAAACCGCTTTTTTAGGGTTGAGGATAGAATATTGAATCACTAAAAGCTCTTAGTAGATTTATGTGATAGCCTCGTAGAGTAATATATCATTCTGTACGTGCGGGGCATTCTCTCAACTCAGAACGATGCGCTTACAAGCATTTTTGCTACTTGTTTCGTTCCAGTGGTCCAACTCATTGCATGGTAAATGTCTTTACATTTTTGAAAACAGATTTTCGTTATGTTTAAAGACTGCCTTTCAAACCAGCTCGCGCTATTCCACTCTGCAATTCATCCTGTAAATAGTTTCTACAGCACTTTCATGCGTACAGATAATAATGATCCATTTTGATGGAAAGTCTGTTAAAAGCCTGTTTCAAAAAGATTCTTTGCAGATGACTTTAATAATTTACCCTAAAATTGGGAGGTAGAAATTGGTTTAAATTGTGTTTAATTTTCATCATTTTAACATAGACTATTCCATGTTTACGTACCTTAAACAGAATTTCTAGTGTTTGTGCATTTTTTCTATACTTCCTTTGAATTTCTCTTTTAATAATATTTTCAGTTTTCGTCTTTTATTTCAAGTCATTTTAGATTTTCTTAGTTCCAATCCCTTCCTAAGATTACATTTTCTATTTGGATTGTTAGAGCTGGTCCATTTGTTCAGTGGCTGCGCATGCGCTATTCGCATTTGCCACGTACATTTCGAGAAGTAAGAAGAGCGGTTTTGTTAATTTGTGTCGCAAAAAAGTCTCGATCCCTAGCTATATTGAGATATAGTTATTTCCAGGAGCCCAAAACCCTGTTGCGTTGTTATTGAAACAATCAAATTAAGGTAATACGTTCATGTTAGAAATATGCATTCATTAAACTCTGTTCGTGATGAAAATCATGAACGTATCAACCTCAACCCCACCCACACCCCATTCAACCGCACAATGGTAGGAAGAAAATTAAGGAAATACTTATTAGCCAAAATTTAAAGTTTTGCTAATAATTGTTTAATAGACTATTAAAAGACGATATAAGATACTTTTAAAGTCTCTAAATTATTTCGTGACTGCTGCTGTGCAGTGTGAAATACATTACTGGCTTGACCATTCCGTGTGGCTTTATTGAGCATACTTAGGCTCCGGGAGAGGCTAGATTACCGTATTCTTGCTACTTTACAAATCTTATCACGTTTCACACCAGTACACCATCCAGATGGCTTTTGAGCAACTTTGAGGCCTTTAAAATGCTTGCATAATTTCATTTTCTTCATTTTCAGTTGCTGTCTCGGATGCTGTGGAATCTGCAGATGGTAAGTTATTGGCACCAGGATCCGCAGTGGGGAAATATCGGCGAGCAAAGCAAGCGGGGCGGTAGTCTGGGGAGGGGTTAAGGTGCTTTAACTGTCCCCTCTCCAATTGGCCTAACTTTTTGTTTGTGTCGGTTGTTTGTTTTGGTAGCGGAGGGAGTAGGGACACTTAAAAAAACGTCTTATGTAAAGCGGTCATTTTATAGGACAGGAAATAGCCATCTTTCGCCACCAGCATTTTCTCCCCTTCTCTACAAAATTTAAAAATGAAACAAGGCAGCTTGTTTCAAATAATTATGTATGTGCAAACTTCTAGTTACAGATAAATCTTAGTATGATAAAACTGTAACATGTTTGTGAGCGTTATATTGTATTGCTTTGAAAGAAGCACTCGTTATGTTTCAAAATATGACAAATGAGAATGATTATACCTTGTCAAGTATTTATGAAAACAGCTAATAATACCTCATATCTTAATTGAGGCATCTTAGAATATCGTGCATTTTGGGTGAAAAAAAAAAGTTAAAAGGATTGAATAGAACAGCTCAGCGATGACCCCACTTACACCCGCTTTTTTAGGGTTGAAGATAGAATATTGAATCACTAAACGTTCTCAGTAGATTTATGTGATAGCCTCGTAGAGTAATATATCATTCTGTACGTGCGGGGCATTCTCTCAACTCAGAACGATGCGCTTACAAGCATTTTTGCTACTTGTTTCGTTCCAGTGGTCCAACTCATTGCATGGTAAATGTCTTTACATTTTTGAAAACAGATTTTCGTTATGTTTAAAGACTGCCTTTCAAACCAGCTCGCGCTATTCCACTCTGCAATTCATCCTGTAAATAGTTTCTACAGCACTTTCATGCGTACAGATAATAATGATCCATTTTGATGGAAAGTCTGTTAAAAGCCTGTTTCAAAAAGATTCTTTGCAGATGACTTTAATAATTTACCCTAAAATTGGGAGGTAGAAATTGGTTTAAATTGTGTTTAATTTTCATCATTTTAACATAGACTATTTCATGTTTACTTACCTTAAACAAAATTTCTAGTGTTTGTGCGTTTTTTCTATACTTCCTTTGATTTTCTCTTTTAATAATATTTTCAGTTTTCGTCTTTTATTTCAAGTCATTTTAAGTTTTCTTAGTTCCAATCCCTTCCTAAGATTGCATTTTCTATTTGGATTGTTAGAGCTGGTCCAGTTGTTCAGTGGATGCGCATGCGCTATTCGCATTTGCCACGTACATTTTGAGAAGTAAGAAGAGGGGTTTTGTTAATTTGTGTAGCAAAAAAGTCTCGATCCCTAGCTATATTGAGACATAATTATTTCCAGGAGCCCAAAACCCTGTTGCGTTGTTATTGATACAATCAAATTAAGGTAATACGTTCATGTTCGAAATATGCATTCATTAAACTCTGTTCGTGATGAAAATCAGGAACGTATTAACCTCAACCCCACCCACACCCCATTCAACCGCACAATGGTAGGAAGAAAATTAAGGAAATACTTATTAGCCAAAATTTAAAGTTTTGTTAATAATTGTTTAATAGACTATTAATAGACGATATAAGATACTTTTAAAGTCTCTAAATTATTTCGTGACTGCTGCTGTGCAGTGTGAAATACATTACTGGCTTGACCATTCCGTGTGGCTTTATTGAGCATACTTAGGCTCCCGGAGAGGCTAGATTACCGTATTCTTGCTACTTTACAAATCTTATCACGTTTCACACCAGTACACCATCCAGATGGCTTTTGAGCAACTTTGAGGCCTTTAAAATGCTTGCATAATTTCATTTTCTTCATTTTCAGTTGCTGTCTCGGATGCTGTGGAATCTGCAGACGGTAAGTTATTGGCACCAGGATCCGCAGTGGGGAAATATCGGCGAGCAAAGCAAGCGGGGCGGTAGTCTGGAGAGGGGTTAAGGTGCTTTAACTGTCCCCTCTCCAATTGGCCTAACTTTTTGTTTGTGTGGTTGTTTGTTTTGGTAGGGGAGGGAGTAGGGACACTTAAAAAAACATCTTAGTAAAGCGGTCATTTTATAGGACAGGAAATAGCCATCTTACGCCACCAGCAACTTCTCCCCTTCTCTACAAAATTTAAAAATGAAACGAGGCAGCTTGTTTCAAATAATTATGTATGTGAAAACTACTAGTTACAGATAAATCTTAGTATGATAAAACTGTAACATGTTTGTGAGCGTTATATTGTATTGCTTTGAAAGAAGCACTCGTTATGTTTCAAAATATGACAAATGAGAATGATTATACCTTGTCAAGTATTTAAGAAAACAGCTAATAATAGCTCATATCTTATTTGAGGCATCTTAGAATATCGTGCATTTTGGGTGAAAAAAAAAAAAGTTAAAAGGATTGAATGGAACAGCTCAGCGATGACCCCAATTAAACCGCTTTTTTAGGGTTGAGGATAGAATATTGAATCACTAAAAGTTCTCAGTAGATTTATGTGATAGCCTCGTAGAGTAATATATCATTCTGTACGTGCGGGGCATTCTCTCAACTCAGAACGATGCGCTTACAAGCATTTTTGCTACTTGTTTCGTTCCAGTGGTCCAACTCATTGCATGGTAAATGTCTTTACATTTTTGAAAACAGATTTTCGTTATGTTTAAAGACTGCCTTTCAAACCAGCTCGCGCTATTCCACTCTGCAATTCATCCTGTAAATAGTTTCTACAGCACTTTCATGCGTACAGATAATAATGATCCATTTTGATGGAAAGTCTGTTAAAAGCCTGTTTCAAAAAGATTCTTTGCAGATGACTTTAATAATTTACCCTAAAATTGGGAGGTAGAAATTGGTTTAAATTGTGTTTAATTTTCATCATTTTAACATAGGCTATTTCATGTTTACGTACCTTAAACAGAATTTCTAGTGTTTGCGCATTTTTTCTATACTTCCTTTGATTTTCTCTTTTAATAATATTTTCAGTTTTCGTCTTTTATTTCAAATCATTTTAGGTTTTCTCAGTTCCAATCCCTTCCTACTAAAGATTGCATTTCCTATTTGGATTGTTAGAGCTGTTCCAGTTGTTCAGTGGATGCGCATGCGCTATTCGCATTTGCCACGTACATTTCGAGAAATAAGAAGAACGGTTTTGTTAATTTGTGTCGCAAAAAAGTCTCGTTCCTAGCTATATTGAGATATAGTTATTTCCAGGAGCCCAAAACCCTGTTGCGTTGTTATTGATACAATCAAATTAAGATAATACGTTCATGTTCGAAATATGCATTCATTAAACTCTGTTCGTGATGAAAATCAGGAACGTATTAACCTCAACCCCACCCACACCCCATTCAACCGCACAATGGTAGGAAGAAAATTAAGGAAATACTTATTAGCCAAAATTTAAAGTTTTGCTAATAATTGTTTAATAGACTATTAATGGACGATATAAGATACTTTTAAAGTCTCTAAATTATTTCGTGACTGCTGCTGTGCATTGTGAAATACATTACTGGCTTGACCATTCCGTGTGGCTTTATTGAGCATACTTAGGCTCCGGGAGAGGCTAGATTACCGTATTCTTGCTACTTTACAAATCTTATCACGTTTCACACCAGTACACCATCCAGATGGCTTTTGAGCAACTTTGAGGCCTTTAAAATGCTTGCATAATTTCATTTTCTTCATTTTCAGTTGCTGTCTCGGATGCTGTGGAATCTGCAGATGGTAAGTTATTGGCACCAGGATCCGCAGTGGGGAAATATCGGCGAGCAAAGCAAGCGGGGCGGTAGTCTGGGGAGGGGTTAAGGTGCTTTAACTGTCTCCTCTCCAGTTCGCTACTCGGCTCCCTTCACTCACCGTTCTTTTTTTTCGTTATGGAGTCTGGCCCCAGCCCACTAAGCTATAACTGTCTTACAAAATAATTACAGTAAACATTGTAAATGTGGAGTTATTTGGCGCAGACCTCAGTTCTATTACGTGATATGGCCAGCCTTTTCAATGCAAAAAATTACCAAAAAATAATTATGGGGCTAGTGCTGTCTAATAAATTTTGTTTGGCACCTTCTCCATAACTCTAAAGGAGCATTTTGTATAAGTGTATAGGCACTAAGTAATGACTTCAGCACATAATATTCCCCAAACCAGCAATATCCTCGGGACAAACCCCCTTTAACACTAGGATAATTGACTAATATAGATTAAAACGCCCGATCACTTTTGTGGGAAGTCAAATCTCTTTCTTTTTTCCACGAGCTTGACGTGGCGAGTGTTTCACCTTTTCCAAAACGAAACGTGTTATCATTCTCTTGTCTTACAGTGTCAGCGTGTCCAAATATGACAATCCTGACAGGGACTTCAGGCATCATCACAAGTCCTTCTTACCCGGGAAAGTATGGTAATTACCACAGATGCAGCTGGAAAATCATGGCAAGTACAGGATATCACGTCAAATTGGTCATTCAAGACATGGAAATAGAAGGTGGGACTAACTGTCCCTACGACTACATACAAATTCAAAATGCTGTCATATATGGTAGTGGTGTGCTTCCTGGGCGTTTATGTGGTTCACTCACCAGCAATTCGACTTTTTCTTCTTACGACGAAACCTTGATTGTACGTTTTGTTACTGATGTTTCTGTAACAGCCCGTGGATTTAAAGCAAGATATACTGTTATTCCTGGTAAGTAGGAAGAATTATGTTTTGCAGTGCTTTGCGCTTTATCCAGTATAGTATGTTGCGGGGTATCTCGGCAAAATCGCTTCTAAACACTAGAAATTCTTGTTTGAGCATAGACGATTTCTGAAGATTGTTCTCAAAGATAGTCCTTTACATTTCTCTTGAAAGGTTTCCACTTTGCTCAATTAAGAATATTTAAAATCAGGGGCATAGCCAGCCATTTTTCCCATTTAAGCCCGATTTGGTCCTGAGAAAGTAAGGTCCTGAGAAAGCGAGGGAGGAGAGATGCATTCATTCATTCAGTCGTTCGTTCGTCCCTCCCTCCCCCCCTTACTTCCATCCATCCATCCATACATCCATCCATTCAGAGAGTTGTAAAACTTTGGAACTTGAATGTAAGCGGTGCTGGTATTGGTTCTGCATGGCGACTAAAAAAAAAGATTGAGGACTCCTAGTACGCTAGTATTGTGTATTTGGTTGTTCATTGAAAAAACGTTATTGAATTTTGAAAAGAGTGAAAACATAAAAAGGCCTAATTAAAACAAGTGGATTTCTTGACATTTCAAGAACTTTTGCTCCTTTAAGATCGGGTCATTATGGGCTTCGTACCTAGATTTTCTTACTTATTGCTAATGATGTGTTGAGGACTTAGTAGAAAGCCAAGTTATCGCCTAAGCCATAAACTTTTTTCAGAGGGAACATGAAGAACAGCGGGTCATCTTTGCTCAAAAATGTTGTGTCAAATGAGTAATTAGCAGTGATTCGTCAACGAACGGGTTCTTTTAGTTAAAAAAAATAACCGTGTCAGAGTCACACCTTGATAAACAGTTTTTGAATTCTTTATAAAGAACTATAAAGAACTCTGTTACACTCAAGTACATCTCCTAAGGTCAATAGGGACGTGCGTGTCTCTTTAGCACTGCATGTCTCGCTTGTGTCCACTAGAACTAGGGATTCCTTCAATATCGACGATCGTGCGTATATATTATTATATCTCAGAAAAACGAGCACTCAGAGACTAAAATGGCAACTTTCTCACGTCTTTGTAAGGTCTTCAGTTGTTTCGTCCTTTGTATCTTCTAAGGAAGAGATTCTAAATTGTCACAGAAGAAGGATGAGAGGCAGCCCGGTTCAGTTTAGATTTAGAGAGAATACGGCTCTTCCGACTATGAAATTTGAGTTACTCTGTTTGCAAAATAGAATTGCAGAGCGAAGCTAGTTACTTCGGCGGAGCGCGAAATAAAGGATTCGCGACGCTCAGGAATGTATCAAAGTTGACTTTTTTTGACAAGATTGGGCACGCAAAGTCTGTAGGTTTTCGGTTTTAGTCAGCTATTTGATCAGTACGGAATATCCCTAAATTTAAGGACAGGGCCAACTGGTCACGCGACACTTCTCAACCAATGAGAGGGCGCGCTTGTGTTTATCAACAAACAAATCAAAACATCGCCCCAGTGATCAAAAATTTTCAAAACAACCGACGGAGTCGGACAGAATTAAAGATGAGCTTACAGTACTCGTCTAGGTTTCACATTTAATATTTCAAAGAAAACATTTCATGTAAGAGAATAAGAGCATTAATCATTGCAAGGAACGAATCATTGGGGTGTTCCAACTGATTCCGGACCGATCGCGGAGGTCGTGGCTTCACTGGCATGGCTTGCAAGATTTTTGATAGAAGCAAACTAGTCCCGTGAAAATAGCCTTAGAGAGAGCGTGAAAATTTGTTGAGATCGTACAAAACAGGATTGGTAGTACCTATTCTACAGGACAAGAATCAAAGAATCAGTCATCATAACAAGAATAGAAAGTAGTTCAAATTTATTAATTTTTCTTGTTTGTGTTTTGTGTTGTTTCGTGTTGACTTCACGCGTCTGGTGCTTTCTTTGCTTGCTGTAGTACCTGCAATGTTTTAATTTTATCCCAGATAATCAGTGCATGTTCAATGAGTAGCGAAATACATCATTTACAATTGAGATTTGCCTTGTTTTGTTTGTTTAAAATATCCCTGAGAGCCTCGAAACGATGACTGATTCTGTCTGCTTCCGTCCGTTGTTTTGAAAATTTTTGATCCGCTGGGGCGATGTTTTGATTTGTTTGTTGATAAACACAAGCGCGCATTCTCATTGGTTGAAAAGTGTCGCGTGACCAGTTGGCCCTGTCCTTAAATTTAGGGATATTCCGGACTGCTGATGAAGCGAGAGTCGAAGTATTTCGAGATATCTCGAGATCACTTCGATTTCTTTCCTTTATTCTTCAACTTTTTCGAGGAAGAAAGAATTATTATTTTTGCTTTCCCGGGGTTTGAACCGACTCACCTGTTTGACCCGTCAGATCAAAGGAGACTCTAAGTTGAGGGATTAGCCGATTGCGCTACTGCAACCCAGGGTAGTTCAGGAGATGAAAAACAGTTATGAAATGATGCACTAGTTTCGGGACAAGATTGAGCGTGCAACTTCGTGACTTTTCGGCTTGTTTCGGCTATTTCACGAAATGAGACCGGACTGCTTCGTGATATCTTTAGATCACTTCGAGTTTAGTCTTTAATTTACTCGAGGAATTAATAGAGGATAACACGTGGCTGCGCAGAGACACGAAATTTCTCTTCGAGTGTTGAAAAACATTTCACGAGTGAGCCCTCCTTTCGAACTGTTTTATGATGAATTTAAAGTTACAAAATGATGCACAAAGACATTTTTTCTTTGATGAGTGTTACGTAGTTAAATTGCTTTCATGCGTTGCGTGATTTTCTCGAACGTTCGCTACGTTTTTGGATTATTCATGAATAATTAATTAGGGCATGTTTACATTTCAGCATGAGTCAGCAGATTTTCATCAGTTACTGAAATCATAAATATGTCGAAAAGCTACTACTATTGGCCTGTTTAGTATTTTCTGGAACCTTATGTCAAACGGTATACAAGTTCCAAGCGAGTTCTTCTGACGAACTAATTTTTCCCACGAGCTGGACTGCTGTGTTTAGTCATGTTTACAAGTTGGCGGAAGTCGTAAGATATCTGAAGTTCGAATGAGAGTTTGTTATTATTGGCAGAGGCTATGTAGTTTTACTTAAGTTCAAGTCAAGTTTGTGTTGCCGTTTGCTGTGTTTTAAATCTCTGTAAAGGCTATGTTCCTTTGGTATTAAACTTCCTTATGTTAATCCGACATCCCTGCGTGCTGATAGTCAGTGAATAATTATCCTCAAAACATTCGAACTCGTAACATTGAGTTTTAGCCAATTACATGCTCAACGTAATTGACTTCTTATCCACGCATCACATATCTTTAATCAGTACACGAGACTGCTATGCTGTTTTTGAAGCTTGATGTGACTAAGAATAATAGAGAAGTCTTTTTTCACTGTTTGTTTTGTTAGACTAGTTATTCACCGCCACTAACCTCTGCTCTGATAGTTCGCAGCTGTTGACTCCTTTCTTAATATGGTTCCTGTGATTATTAAGGCGCAGGTTGAAAGCTGTCTCGCTCTTCCCTACATATTGTAATCTACAAATTCGACACTCAATTATATAAATCACAAAGGCTGATTGACAATTCACTGTATGGAATATATCAAACACCTTGCCATCCCGCCGCGTGCCCGTAAAAGTAGAGGTCTTGTTTATAAGCACGCACCAACTACATTTCGGTTTATTGCAAGGACCACAGCTACCCATTGTGGTGGTTTGTCCTCCAGGGGTTCTGCCTTGTTAATTTGGTACTGACGAGTATGTCGCGTAGACTTTTTGACCGCCTATATATGCGATGATTGGTCTTTCTCTAAATATGTGAGCCAGTCTTTCCTTTGATTGGAGGAAGTGCCAGTTCCTGTTCGCCACTTCAGCAATATATGAGGTGCGTGGATTGTATGTGGTTACTAAGGCCTTTTATGCGGTTGGTGGTGTGCCTCTCTCTCGTCCGCAAACTCTCGTCTTGTGTCAGTGACAGAACTTTGCGCATTTCAGATAGCGCCCTATCTCTTTTATACCCACACGCTACGAAAAAATTGGAATATTCCAATATTCTTTCCAATATTCTTAAGGCTTGGCTGTATGGTATACTTTGCTTTAAATGCGGTGGGTGCGCCGAAGTCCTATATATATATACCATTGAGAATTCACCGATGGATTTGTCCAAACATCCACGAATACTTTCGAACGTTAGTAGAGGTGAGAAATTACGCGAAGTCTGAATCATTGTCGAGGGTTCAAGGCCGAGAAAGATTGATTTTCCACGTACACGTAACTATTTACATCGATTTTCCAAATATATAAAACGATTATTTGCTCGCCAGTGTATTTGATTCATTTCTCTTGTTATTTTGTTAAACGAAGACGATTCCTCCCGCCCGGCGTCTACGCGTATTCATGTTCCTTTGGATACTGTTTTTAACCAAATATGATAAAATATTGTAAAAGGATTAGTAAAAAACAGAGGTTTTCAGTAAAAGATCGAGGATCGAATAAAACAGTAGGCAAGATTGAGCGGATTTCTAGTTGTATCCGACGTGTACATTTGATTTCAGGTTGAGATAAACGCTTTTCAAACTTGCAAAACTAGTGTCCAGGTCAGCGAGGTCCCATAGCTGACTGTGTCCCTTTAAATCGATTTTCAAGTAAAGCAAACTAAGGTAGCGAACCATTTAAATGGAATATTTTGTTCGAAATTGCGTTTTTCATCGATCAATGCAGAATAAACATAGTTACCTAGAGCATGAAAATGAAATATTTTTTTAAGGCATTGGCTAAGTGGCCAAAAAAAGTGGTGGCCATGTGAATGACACACGCTGGAATTTGGGCACGGTACCGGTGCCCGAGTACGAACTCGGGTACAAATTAGACATCGGTAAAAAATTATAACTTGACATTTCTTTACCCACGGAGCTTTTAGGAGTTCTCAAGAAGTCGTCGAAACGTGTCCGTGCGTTCCAGATCGAAAAGGAATTTGGAAGTGTTGATTTTTGAGGAGAGGGAAAACCGAAATACCCGGAGAAAAACCTCTCGGAGCAAGGACG